TTTTATTGTTAAAATATTATTTTAAGTTGTCGTGTTTTAATTTACTTGGGTATTAGAACAAATTGTAAAAATTATTATTGCAAATTAATTTTATAATTTTGTAATTAAAAAGGATATATTAAACTTTGCCTTATTGTTAAAATAAAATTAAAATTTGTGATCGAAAAGTTAATTTTGTGATCTGAAATAATTTCATTCAACAAATTTTTATTTGTAATTTTAATTTATTCAACATCTGAAATTAATTTTGTGATCAGTATGTGTCAAACCACTACTATTGGCATATATTACGTCTTAGCGACTAAGCTAAGTCCTTCTCATTCAGTTTCCATATGCAGTATATAAATACAGTATATGCTTCTTCTTTCATCGCGTAAACTTAGCCTATTGTTATTTAATTTTTATACTTGGACTAGGGACTAGGGGCTAGCTAATACGGCTAATGTTGGCTGGAAAACAAAACTACCAATCGGAATTTTTTCAGCCTATCCAATGATTTATTCATGGATGTGGGACTTCATAAGATGTATTAAATCTTTATGGTTCTGAGCTCTTCAGCCTTGTTTTCGGGTGAACAGAAGTAGGCCTACTTCAATTAGATTATAGGTTATGAGAACTCAGCTTGCAATATATTTTAAGTTAATTCGTCCGAATTCTATTTTAATTTTATTTTAAAAGATATTGAAAATAAAGTGTTAAAAATCACTTACACAAACTCTAATTTTGCATTTTTCGGCCCTTAATTCTTGGCGTAATCCTTCGGCTAATGCTCTCACCATATATTTAGTTCCATCATAAACACTATTGCCAGGTAATGCGATCACTCGATAAGCGGACATACTAAATTAGAGAATGTAATAAAAGAATTGATATTGAGAATATAAATATTAATGAGACGAAGAGGATTAATAATTGCTTAATTAGCATAATTACCTGCTAATGTGTATGATCTGTCCGTCCTCGATGCCTTTTTCTCGCATTAGTTTGATTGCTTCACGAGTACAAATGCATAAAGCTAATACGTTAACCTATACGACAATTTCTTGTTATTAAAAAGTAATAAAGTAGTGTATAATAATCGATTAATTCGAACTCAATACACCACCAGTATTTAGCTCAGTGTTATAATTTGAGGTAAACCCAGGATGAGTTTGAGAAAAAAAACATTGTGGGATCTGAACCGCCCCTGTGGTTAATTATCAATTTAATTAAAAAGTTAAATTTTTGACAAAAAATATTCGTTGATTCTGGTGGGAAAATTAAGTTTTCTAAAACTAAGGAAACGGGTAAAAATCACTTCCTTTAACGGAAGATCGACATCCTTTTGTTTTCCCTTATCTACTAAAAATCTTAGTAACCCTGGAAATTGTTAACCCTTCGATAAATCCTCTTTTCCTCTGTTCACGTGGAAAATACGAAATGCTGATTGGAGAAAATTCATGAGAAAAAGAAAGAATTTTGCATGATTCGGGGAGTACGCCACGAAATTCGAAAGAAGGAAGGCCAACGCCCAAAGTCGAATCCCGAAGTTTCTCTAAAATGAGTTGAAATCAGTAAATAGGGAAGAAATTATTTAAATATGTGCCATTCAAGATCTATTCAAGGAAAAACTATAGTATAAATTTTAGAGGACAGAAGAAGAAAGAGTTATACATAAATAGTATGATTATAATAGAAATTGTGAGCTCTCTCTCTCTCGAAAAGCTTTATTTGAATTTTCTATTTGTATAATTTTGTTGTTTTGTTCCATTAAATCTTTGTTTTATTAGAAAAAAGGAAATGTCTCTCAGTTTGATTCAGAATCGTAAGAGGTTCATTTTTGTATCATCTCAACACGCGTGTTAATCCGCGTATCACAAAATTGATTGACTGATGTCGGGAATCCTGACGAGGAACAGGATGATTACACGATCACCTATTTCCGCTAAAATTAACGCTCTCCTAGAAAAAGTTTAGAGATCGAATCTTGCGATTTTGTGCCGATTAAGTGGTACACTTTCTACAGATTGTACCCCCGGCTATCTCACAACATTAAACGCTCATAATTCAGTTGTAATAAAACATTTATCTTGGTGTTAGAAAGGTTTTGGTCTACCCTGTTTATAGTATCACGTACGAAACATTTGGGGCATTTTTCTTAATATTTTACACGGATTATATTGAAGTTACATCGCACTAGAAGTTTTTTTGTTTAATTTCGCTTCAATTAAAGAAAAAACTTACTTGTAATAATTCTCTCCATTGTTTAGTCGAACCATT